CAACAACAACAACAACAACAACAACAACAACAACAACAACAACAACAACAACAACAACAACAACAACAACACTCAAATTTTCTTGCACTTGCACCAGCAACCTGCACCTGACAGCGCACCTGCTCGGTACTCTTAATCTTCTCCTCCATGCATTTTTTTCCATGTTCGTGTGCTCGATGTCTTCATCAGTTTAGTTGCATTCCAAATGATTCAATTGGCTCACGTGACTTGACACAACGAGACTTACATTCGTTGCTGTGTAGACCCCTCTGCGACACGAGGATATCCGCCATGCCTCTTCTGAGGTTCCCTTACAAGCCTATCCGTCTCCTCGCTTTGCTCTTCTCAGCCTATTGCGGTGGATGCTTCTTGAGCTCCTTGGTCTCGTCTTTGTCTTGCAAACTTCAAGCTGGCCATGGAATCAGTGAAATCCAGGAGCAGTTCGGACGCCTGAAGTTTTCATCAGGGGATAAGAAGACGGATGGAAACTTTCTGCAATTCATTCAGATCTACTCGGTGATCTTGACCGGGTCATTTCTGCGGGATGGGCTAGGTTCGGCTCGTTTTGCAACTCTTTCCCTCCTACTCTTCATGGTGCTGGTCAGTGCATTCCTGTGTGTGAATGTCGTCCTACTGCTCGGCATAAGCGGATTGATCGTTGAGGGTTACGGCTTCGAGCTGGGGGCAATCGCGATCTCCTCGGCTGTGCTGTTGACCCTGGTCGACGGCATTTTGTTCGACGCCAAAGATAGTCTTCACGGAGTCAGTCACCAGATCGACATGACTCGGAAAGCCTCCGAGGCGCGACGTACTTTGAGCATCGAGAGTGCCAGCCGCGCATCAGGGGGCAAAAAGCCGCCGAGCAGCTGAGCGTGCCAGTGACTGAGTGAACTCTAAGCCTGAGTGACTCAGTGACGGATCATGATGAACTTCAGAATGAAATTGACTCGGCTGCCAGAGTTGACCCGGCGAGTACCGTACTGTAACTTGTCTGACGGTCACCGTCATGGCATCATTGATGATCGCCGGACTCCTGTAACGAACGGTACTTCCGGGCGCGCGGCGGCCGGGCGGCCCTGCTCAGCCTGGCAGTGGAATCGGCTTTTACTCAAAGTTAAGTTAAAAATCATTGCGAGGACAATCAAAAGAGCGTCACGCAGTGCCGCTGGCAGACCCGGACTCCGTCCATGGCACCCGCCGCGCGGCGGGCCGCCTAAATTACTGAAGTCATAAAACTGTCCGAGTGAGTGAGGAGTCCCCTGCCCGCAGGATCATGGCTTCATATATTTCATACTGAGGCGGGCTGAATGGATACCAGCGAATCGACATGGCAGATAGTTCAAAGAAGGGGAAAAAGTGGGCGCCAAAGCGCTCGGAATGGCGGAAGGAAGAAGGAGAGGATGCGAATGAGAACAAGAGTGATCGCATGGCGGAAGTAGAGTCTCTCACTTCCTCGGTGAAGGCGAAGGAGAGGGCAAGCGAGTTCCAAGCGGAAGAGGAAGCTTCGAACCTCGTCACCAAACAGGAGAGAATGAGAGAGTTGGGATCTCTTACATCTGATGTGAATGCAAAAGACCGAGCTATGGAATTTGTGAAGAAGCAGGACAGTGAACAGGAACAGATGGAAAAGGCAGCCAAACAAGCTCTCGCTGCTGCTCAGGAACACATTTATAGCGGGAAGTTGAAGTTGGCACAGAAGATCTACGACAAGGAAGAAGACAACCTTGGCAAGTACTCTGAAGAGCTGCAGCTGTCCTTCAAACAGCTCCTGCATGATCTCAAGGCCAAAGAAGAACAAATGGCAACTATGGAAATGATCTCCAATGCAGACAAACTTGTAAACAAGGCACAGGTAGCACTTCAGAATGAACAACTTGAAGAAGCACGGGAGCTTGTACGGCAGGCAACGAGCGAGTACGAGAAGGCCGGTGCAGACAAGCAGAGGGAGCTGAAGGCGCTGGCGGGGCAGATCGAGGAGGCAGAGGAGGCGAGGAGGCGGGCGGCGCTTGTGAAGGAGGGAGACGAGCTGATGAAGAAGGCGGAGACAGCGCTGGGGTCAGGGGAGGTAGAGGCAGCACGGGAGCTTGTACGGCAGGCAACGAGCGAGTACGAGAAGGCCGGTGCAGACAAGCAGAGGGAGCTGAAGGCGCTGGCGGGGCAGATCGAGGAGGCAGAGGAGGCGAGGAGGCGGGCGGCGCTTGTGAAGGAGGGAGACGAGCTGATGAAGAAGGCGGAGACAGCGCTGGGGTCAGGGGAGGTAGAGGCAGCACGGGAGCTTGTACGACAGGCAACGAGCGAGTACGAGAAGGCCGGTGCAGACAAGCAGAGGGAGCTGAAGGCGCTGGCGGGGCAGATCGAGGAGGCAGAGGAGGCGAGGAGGCGGGCGGCGCTTGTGAAGGAGGGAGACGAGCTGATGAAGAAGGCGGAGACAGCGCTGGGGTCAGGGGAGGTAGAGGCAGCACGGGAGCTTGTACGGCAGGCAACGAGCGAGTACGAGAAGGCCGGTGCAGACAAGCAGAGGGAGCTG